GGATCAACATTAGGTATTCAACAAATATTTGTATAATAAATATAATTGCATTAGTGATTACACTATTGCTTCTCAATTTTCAACAAAATATTATTATGATTAATCAGAAGCAAACGGTTTAAAACAACCTACTCAATAATCAAAACTTCTAAAAACTTGCGGAATATTATTTTAAATAATAATCTGTTTTAATCAATTTTAAATATTAACGCTTCATTATCGAATAAAATATATATATATATATATATATATATATATTATATATATGTATATATATATATATATATATATATATATATATATATATATATATGTTTCAAGGACGTAACTGAGCTTTTATTTAACAAGTGTTTAAGTTATATACAAATATTTTATTTTAATATTGTTGAGATATGCGTTCCGTCCATAGTTACTCTTTACCGAGTTTGATGTACACTCTATGCTTTCTTTTTAAGAACATAGGTGACGCTTAAACACATAGGTGTCACTTCTCGGTCACGCACGTGGTAACCTAGACGTTACCAGTCTTAAGTCGTAGTTCACGTGTTGTTGAAGCCATACCTACAATATAACCTACGTTCTGTGTATTCTTAATTGTACTAACTGTAATATATCCAATAAATAACCCAACAGGTTATGGGCCCAGTGCGGACATAGTTAGTAACAATTGACAGTAAATCGTGTCACTCAAGTCTGTGCTGCAAATCTACTTGTGGTCCTTTCGCTCTGCTCAAAAATACAAAGGAGAATGGACAAGTTAACGGTCAGCAAATTTAATGGTCACGATTTTGCGGTGTGGAAATTCCAAATGATGGGTTTCCTTGAATATCATAGTCTGCTGGATGTGGTGGATGGTACAAGAGGAAGGCCGACTTCAGGAAATACAGAAGAATGGGATAAACTGGATAAAAAGGCACGGTTCTACATCGGCTTATCACTGGAATCTGCTCAAGTACGGCAAGTAATGAACTTGAAAACCTCCGCTGAAATGTGGACTCGGCTGGAGTCGCTATATGAATTGAAGAATGCAACGTCGAAGCATTTGCTATTACAAAGGTTCTTCGAATATAAAATGGATAAAGATAGCAATGTTGCGCAGCATGTAGCAAAAATCGAAGAAATGGCTCGACAACTTGAAGAACTCGGTCACAAGCAAGAGGAAGTGACGCTGGTGACAAAGGTTTTGCATAGCTTGCCACCATCGTTCAGAAATTTAATTTCAGCATGGGATTCAGTGCCTGAACGGGAGCAAACTATGGAAAATTTACTACCACGACTTATGAAGGAAGAATTGTTAAACAAAGGTATGGCTGGACTGCATCTCGATGATGCTGAATATAACGCTTTATATGGTAAAGGTAAGCGTTATCAAAATAATAATAGCAATAAACTGCATCAGAATAAAAATCAAAATAAGTACAAAGGTAAATGTCATAGCTGTGGCAGATACGGCCACAAACGTGCCGAATGCAAATTCAGTGGAAAGAATCACAACGATAGTCAAACATACATGGCAGCTTCTACGAAAGAATCGCAAGCATTCACAGCCACTGAATGTTTAATTATGACCAATTGGAACGAAGTTTGGCTGGCAGACAGTGGTGCAAGCTATCATATGACTGCACATAAAGAATGGTTTGTTACATTTAAACCACTCGCAAAAGGAGAAGTCATGATCAGGTTTGGAAATGGTGACCTTGTCAGTGCTCAGGGCATTGGC